CCAGACCCCCCCGATAAGTTACAACTCCCCTCATAGACCAAGAGGCACACACTGAGTTGGCGCGTTTTCGTTCATGTGCGCACTCTTCATGCACTTGCATAGATAGTTCTGGCACTGTTTGTGGGCAATAAGTAAATCCGACCAAGTTCTGCACACTACGGAGCAATCTGGCAGCAATGGACGTTTTTGGCTGGAGGAATGAAAATGTACGGATCGGCCTCAATTCATTCCGTATTTCCAAAGGCCAAAATGGCCTCTTTATTCCTTGTAAGGAATATATTACTTAAAAAAACACTGCATGGGATGCTCCTGCGGCTCATGAACCTCTTCAGTGGAGAGCAGCACGCATACTCCAATGCTGCAGCACTGTCCTTCCTTGCAGCTGGCACCGCTGTACAGTGCTGGTGGTCCGATATCGCGTGCAGGTAAGTTCTTCTGAGGCACGATGTGTGGTTGTTGTTCTTTGGACATCTCACACGTTGTACTTTTACAGATGAGGCAAGTCATATGCCAAGTGGCTGGAATGCCAGACACCGGACCTGCAGCGGCTGGGCAGAGACATGCGCCTACTCATTCCCCCCTGGCACCGATATGCTCACAGGTGTGTATGGGCTTTGTGCGTCTCCTAATAGGTGTTTGCCGTTGCCCTGCAGTTACGCATGCCAGAAAGCGTTTGGGCACCTTGGGCAGGGTGCACGGTGTGGGACAGGGGACAGGCGAGCCAGCAGAGATATTCAAGAGTGTGGCCAGTCCACAATGCCGTATCACACAATACATGAACCCTGTCACTAGGGAAGCGCACTTGGAGCGTGTGGCGCGGCTGTACTGCAGGGATGTCGTAAGGGACTTACCTGCAAGGTTGTGGTGAATGCGGACTCAGGCTGAAGCTGAAGCAGGCTGAAGCTGAAGCAGGCTGAAGCTGAAGCTGAAGCTGCCCTGGACAGTGCCAGACACTGCATCCGTGTCCTTGGGGCCACGTTGGAGCAGAAGGGTGGTGATGCAGCTGTGGTAAGCAAGCGGTATTTTAGCATTGAAATTGTAATGCCAACGTATTCTCACATGTGCAGGTACAGCAGTCCCTCCAGCAGCAGCCCCGGCAACTGGAAGCAACTGACATGGTGCCTGCCAGCCCAGCAGCTGAGTATGCTCTCTGCCGGCTCGCTCTTCAGAAGCTGCAGCGGGAGGACACTCTCGATGCCAGCTCTGATGCGGTGCGGCTTGGGTTGCTCTTCCCTGGTGCTGACTCTGTGCCGGTTAGGCAGCGCCCAGCCCTTATCCGTGCAATAAAAACCCAGGCTGCTGATCTTGAGAAGGCCCGCTATGACCCCGCTGCTTGTGGACCCGAGTCCGAGCTTATGAGTGCGGTGCTGGGGAGCCTGGCGAAGGGAGAGCTGCGGAAGCTTTTTGTGGAGGTGGAGGTGAGTCTGCGAGGTTGTCGGGTCTTCATGCAACGGGGCCATGTAGGCTCTTGGTTCCTTGTCTGCCAGCCGAGTGTTGTGTGCAGGGATCGAGCATCACCCAAGATCCCCAAACCCCGGGTGATAGGCTGCAAGCCAAGTTTGTATTTCTTGGAAAAGATTTAACTTCTCTCCCACCGTGCCCCACTTTTGCACCGCGGCTCTGGCCCCCTCTCGATGTTGCACCCTTTCCTGACCCCCTTCCGTGACCCAACCCTTCAGGATGCCGTAGCCGACATGCATGCCCTGGACCACGTGGTATGGCGACTCAGCGGGCGGCGGCATCAGCAGCAGCTTGCCATTAAGGAGAAAAGGCGCGCTAGGCAACGGTTTGCGCAGCTTTAGGAGCAGCTTACTAGCTGGAGTGCTGTACCTGGAGCGGTGACACCGGACCTTGGGCAGGCATTGGCCATGAAGGGAGCGCTAGGCCAGGCTCTGAACGCACAGCGGTATCCCTGGGCTGCACAGTCAAATCATGGGGTGCCGCAATTGGAGGCAAGCTTGCGCCGGGTGCTGCAGGAGGAAGCGCGGTGCAAGGAGGAGTTGGTGTTGATTCAGAATGAAGTTGGATGTGGTGTAGCATTTTATGTCCGCCGGGTCGCTCTGCTGGAGGGGGCAACTCAGAATGTGGCTGAAACGAGCAGTTATGGAAGGTTGCTGCTCTTGCACCTTGCATGGCAGCAGCGCATGCTCGAGGGGTTCACCTTGCTGCAAACGACCCAGGATGTGCCTCGTTGATGTAAGCAGCTATTATCCGTGTATGGGATGCACGGCTTGGGGAATGGAATAGCACGGATATTGGTTGGTGAGGCAATGGCGGCTTGGTATCCTCTGGTTGTATTCAGGGAAAGGTGGCAATGCACGTGTTGTTGTTCGGTGGACATATGCTGCATGGTTGGATGCTGCCACTACTTGGATCGCTGATAGCTGCTTGAACAGCCTTCTGTATGGCCAGGGCTCTTATCCACGGCACGTTGTAATGTTCCTCGGCAAGGTGCATCTGGTGCATGCTGCATGGTGTGCCACCCGAGTATTGTCAGCGCTCCTTTTAACAGCTAGGAAAAGGGTAACCGACCCGTGGGTCAGGGGGCCGCGTGCAACGACGTCAGTGCCTTAGTCCCAAATAGCCATATGGCACTGATCGGGTCGGTAAACCATGGATAACCCGCCTTCGACCCCGGGGTAGCCCATTGGTAACCCCCTTGTAAGGTCCTACCCAGCGGGAGGGGTAACACGGCCCCAGGGTAACCCCCTCCGTTGCCCTGGACTATGGACATGGGCCTACTGGTCTTATTTGTTGCCCTCTTAGGATATCTTTGTAAATGTACATGTTAGCAGCCTACAGTATCTTGGTATCTCGGGAAGCATCGTTCACCATGTCCAGGTCTCTAATGCTGGCAGGACACATGCCAAGCCATTGTGCTGAAGGCTGGGCATTGAGCAATAAATCTGGCAGGTGCAGTGTAGCAGCCGGTACACAGTACGGCGCTATAAATACGCGCAGAGTGCGACCGCCAGCAACTCGAGAGACCTTTTCAGCGGTCAGCTGCTACATGCAGGCTGCAGGTGTTACAACAGCAATGGGTCAGGGTTCAACGAGGCAGCCATTGGTTCACAGTGCTTGCTCCTACCAGATGTAATAGCATTTATGGTCACGAGGACTCTGATACAGGCCTAAGCATTTTTCCTCTCGAGCAGGGAAGCTGGCATCCATGGAGAGGACCTTCCAGAACGTAAAGCAGCCATACCGATGCCGACATACCGGTAAGCCGCACCCTGAACTGATGCCGTGAGCTGTGATGGGCGTCATTTCGTTTACAATGTCAAACTCGACTAGTGTCAGAGTTGAGTGTCAACGGTCGACCTTGGCCATGGCATACCGGACATAGCGACATGTCTCTACATGGATTCCTGCCAAGCAGCCCGCGTCCTGAAAATGTTTTACGGATCTTTTCGATCAGCAACATAGGTTACAAACACCAATTTTGGCTTGGAACGGACAACCTCAACTTTTCGAACCTCCCCTTCTGGCCACACTCGAACCTGCGGCCCAAATGCCACGCAAAACCCGGTACCTCCAATCGCCCTGGAAATTTGACACAACGACCTTCATGACATTAGAATCCCAATGCAATGGCTTTTCGCCACGGGCTCAACGTTCTGCCGCCACCGACATGGTGTCAGTTTCCCAACGTTGGAACCTGTGTCATATCATTCTCGTTGCCACAGTGCAGTGAAACCAACACTGCATCTTTCAGCCAGTTTAGTGACTCCAGGATTGCAGCAAGCCTGCCACCCTTATTCACCCTCCCTCGTCCCTGATCAGGTGCGCCCCGTTTCCCGCCATCGCCCAATCGTCCTCTACCGGCACCACTGCTGCCGCTGCTTCCCCCTCGGGTATTTGAGCGACAACTGGACCGTCTGGGCTCCTGAGGCCCCATCACCACCGTTGCATGCACTAAGCATGCATGGCACTTGCACCTGCTCACCGACTGAAGTCCCACCATGCCGCCCCTTCCACCTGGTCCACTGCTTCCCATCCCCCACCACTGCTGCTGTTAGGGCTGAACATAGCATGCAGGTGCGGCTGCAGCTGCGGTAGCTCGCCTCCTAAGGCCCCATTGCCGCTGCCGATACCGCTTCCACTCCTTCCACCACCACTTCTTCTGCTACCACTGCTACCGTCGCCACCGCTTCCACCTCCACCACTTCCACAGCAGCCACTTTGCCACCACTGCTTCTGCCGCGGTGACTTCCACCATCGCACCAAGACCCAAATCGGCATGGATATGCGGCAACGACCACATCATCCCATCGCCACCAGGGCCCAGCACGGTGTGAGTGGGCAGCAGAAGCCGTGTCATCCCACTTCTCAAAGTCCCATCACCGCCGCTGCCGCCACCAATTTGGCCGCCACCACTTTGGCCGCCGCCACTTTGGCCGCCGCTGCTTTGGTCGCCACTGTTTCCACCGCCACCGCTTCTACCGCCTCCGCCGATAGTGGGGCCCATTAGACCATGAGTGGGCAGCAGCAACCGTGTTGTCTAGCCAAACACCCCATCATCCCCGCTGCTGCCGCGGGGGCTCAATACAGCGTGCGTGGGAGGCTGCAGCTGCACCGGCTCGCCACCCAACACTGTATCAAGGCTGCTATTCCAACCGCCACCGTTGGTGCTGGGGCCCAATGCGGCACCAGCCATGTTTACAACGGGCTCACAATGTGGGCAATGCCAGTCCCCAGAAGGAATGCTGGTTAGTGGTGGTGTCAGGCAAGTCATGTGATAGCATGTCACCCCAGCTACCCTCTTCTGTCTCCCCGCATACCACACATGGTGCATCAGGGTCCAGGTCATCGGCGCCACCGAGTTTTTTCAACTCTGACTGCTGCAAGTGCTTCCAGCGCCGTCCTCTCCTGTGCTCGAATACGATGCCCCGTCATCATCAGTGCTGACGGCGCTGACTGCATGACCAGACCTCGGCCCCCATCCAGGCCGACCACGCTTGCCTGCAGGGTGAGAGCTCATAAAAACCTGTTTTCTCCTAGTCACAAGAACGCCCAGACCCATCTTACGCGTCTCCAATAGCCCAGCATCAACAAGCTTCTTGCGTGTCGCGACTGTTGTCTTGACGCCAGCCATGCCGGTTACCATGCCAATGGCTTCCTCCTCACCGAACATCTCACGAAGCTGGTCGAACTGCTGAAAGGCCTCAGTCATCTGCATTACGAACTATCTCGTCAGCATTCCATGGCTCACAGCATGCCTCATGTGCTAAGAAGACAGTGATAATTCGGTTTGGCCCACCTGCTGCGGTGTCGGCTGGCCCCATGATAACCCTGCATTCTTGAGTGCTGCACCCAACTCTTTCCGGCTCAGCCTCACACCCACCTCCACTAGTGCAGCCCTCAGTTCGGACATGCCTTTTTTCTTTTTCCGCGTGTTGAAACGCTCAAAGGCACACTGCAGCTGCTGCTGGTCGACCGCCGATGTCCCTGTACATGCGTACCATCGATCAGCAATGCAATAATGCCCAATGTGCCACCACCACACATTACCTGCTCTGTGGCAGACCCGCCCGTTTCTGCCGCCCACGTCGACCGCATCCTCCTCAAGGTCTTCTGCATCACTGAGATTCCCATCAGCAAATCAGCTGCCATGCTGCGTGCCCCTGCCCGCTTGGCTGCCTGCTTCCCTTACTGCACTCAAACCCAAAAACATGATTGGCGATGTTGAAAGCATGCAGCGACTACATGCATATTCACTCAAAACTCCGCATCAGTTCCTCCCTCGTGGCTCGCAGCCTGCAAGGCAAAATGAAAGTGTGGAGGTACCAAACAGGGCAACATAGCATGGGAAAGCATTACGTATTCTGCCACCTTGGCGGCATACCACTCGTCATGTGACTCTGCCCATGCAATCAGCTGCAAGCACAGTTCCTTACGTAGATCCACGGTCTGTGCGTTCACCAAGGGGATGCATGGGAAACCCAGGGCAACACGTGTGGCCATACAACTGCCACCGCAGGGGCAAGGGCCACCAGACTCTGAAGGCACCCAGCTTGCAATATGTCCGGCCGACAGGTCCTTGGTGACCCCCTTATTGCACATATGCGGTACGTACTGCGCCGCAGTGCCGAACGTGTTCTGCAGGGCAGGCTCTAGGACCATCTGCAGGAGATGGTACAACGGTAAGAACTAGGCTTGTGTTGCCAGCCCCCCAGCACCATGCCGTCTTCAACTTGCCTGCCAGGCCAATCGCCCTAGATTCCTTAGGGTTTACGAAGTAGGATTCCGCCTCGGGACGCTGGATGTCGTCCGCTTGCTGTTTCCGAGCTATGACTCGGACCTGCGGTGCAGGTGCCTGCAGCTGCCCCACAACGTACGCGTTCTTCACCAAGTGCTCGAGGTGTGGCATAAGCTGACGATCGCTCATCCATCCCCATTCGTGCTCATCCAGCCCCATTCGTAGCACTCGATCTCCGAGGACGTCGGGGACGCAACGACAAGCACAACGGCCGGGAGCTGCCTAAAGTCGAGCACGGAGCCTCAGGGTTATGGTACGGCAACACGGGGGTAACCGGAAAATTTCCACAAAAACAAACCATCAATGTACTCACTTAACACGTAGGCCCTTGAACGCGTCCATAGAGAATTTGGTGAAAACCTGCTCCAGTGCATCGCAGACTTTGCGCAGGGCTGCCGCGACCATTGTGCTTGCCGTCTTCTACATAGGAGCTATGGCAACAACGTGTGTCCATGGCTGGGTGGGTGTAGGTAATGGGTGGAGGCCAGGCGGAGGCTGAGCGTTGTTGGTAAGGTTTGGTGGTGGTTGGATTGGAGTACATAGGGTCGGCGGTGTATCCGAAACGGATGTCGTCAGCGAGGCTGGGGTCTGGAATGACATGGGCTGCGATGGTGAAACAGGTGTGATGGAGGGCGTGGTTGGCTGCGACGTGGACTGGTGGTGAAGTGGTGGGCCAAAGCGGAGGGAATGACGGAGTGGTAATGGAGGTTAGGGGTTCTGCTGTTGCAGTGGGTGGTGAGGGGCTGGGGTCGGAGGACTCTGGGTTAGGGGCTGGACTGACGGGAAAGCGGGAGAGGGCGTCGGCCATGTTTTGCGGGCCGGGGCGATAGGTGATTGTGTTGTAGCCTTGGAATGGGGCGAGGAGCTGGGCCCAACGGGCTTGACGACGAGACAGGTCCTTCTGTGTAAAAAGCGTTGTAAGGTGTCGTGGTCTGTGCAGAGCGGGAAGGGGCAGCCTTCAAGATAGCACCGAAACTTATGCACTGCGTGTACGACAGCAAGCAACTCCAGCTCGTGGATGGGGTAGTTGGCTTCATGACGGCTGAGTTTGCGGGAAATCGATGGCGCTAGGCAGTGCGAGTCACTCCTGGACCTTCCCTAACTGGGCGCGTCCGGTGACGGCGCTTCAGCCATGGCGAAGTGCTCCCCATGGAAAATCGTTTGGGGAGATTCTCAGGCTCCCCAAGGGGAGAGAGCCTCGGTACAAGGGGCCCTCCCAAACGGCAGAGGTCCCCATGGCTTGGGGACGCAGCCATACCGCAGGAACATTATCTATCCCTAATTTTCAGGTTCACGGACAATTTTTTCTTTCGAATTCGGAAAACATTTCGCAAAAAAATCGCAGTCGACGAGCCACCGAAAGTGGCGAAGGTTGCATATCAGTCGCTTATTTTAAACGGTAAAATCTTTGAGTGTGATGGGGGGCCGTCCACCCCATCGCCAACCTAACCTCGACACTAGGGTTTGGGTAACAGACTCAATGGACGGCAGCATAGTTGCTCTGGATTCTGCATTGAAAGGCAACAATAGACCAGCCGCCTGTCGCCAATGCGCTGCTCAGCTAAGAGAGCGACAGGAAAACACTCATTACACTTACGAAAGGTACAAAGGGATTGGGCTAGTGGGCTCCGTGTCTAGAGTTATTGCACCACTGTTTGATACCACGCCCTGCACCTCTAGAGCATCCAGCGCAAGAAGAACATCCCCCAACATTTCAGTGTCTTACAGCCCTGGAGCGCTTGGCGTCGAAACTCCAGCCCTGGGCGGATGTTACCTGACGGGGCAATCAATCTCTTTTCCGGAAAATTTGGGTCTATACAGAGGTAAACTCCAACACCACGCATTAGGAACCAACGGATGAACGTCAACATCTTCAACTGGGGGAGGTGCCAACGCTGTAACAATGCGCTGATCATCACGATTGCCCCAAACCAAGGCACCCCCACCTGGACGTGATTAGACATAATGGGATTCTATGCCAGGTAAAGGGCATGCAGGAAAGAGTGCATGACCAAGACCCAGGGCGGTCGCGTTAAAACTGGCTGGACTATTGGCCTCGCAAAACGCACCGCCCGGCACGCCCATCGCGCTCTCGAACGGCTAATGTCCCCAAACCGCCCAAAGGTAGTTGGCCATATAACAAATTCTTAGGAACCCCAGTAAGCCGTCTGTCGTGTGCAGCCGGGCCCAGGTTCCTATCAATAAGCTTGGGACGGCCCCCGTGCTTCATATGCCACGTAAAACGATGCAGCCCATAGGCGGCCGCTGCCTGGGCACGCCCAAAAATGGAGAGGTGTAGCATGGAAATGCGTTGGAGTCGAGTCCAAAATGATGTATGCAGGAACAAGAGAGGGAGGGAGTAGTGCATGGAGGGACCATGACTATATGCGTACAAACAGTAGCTTAATTCCTTTTCTGGAGACTTTACTTAATCTTTGCTCCGTAAAACGCCCCTTCCTCATTACGGACCAAAGCTTCCAAGTTGCAATTCATGTCACCATATTCTTCAGGTCGAACGATGGATGTTCACATACCAGTTATGAGATCCGAATGTTCTTCCACTTTAGTCTCCATTTTGCTCGTACGGGGGCTCGAACCCCGGACCTGCGGCTTACTCATAACATAAGACCACCGCTCTAACCGACTGAGCTATACGAGCATGGACACCATGCAGACCATCTGCTTTATAGAATTAATAGATTATACCACAAACACATGTGTAAGTTATAGCAGGTCGAGCAATAGTGTCGAGTCCGTCTGGAAGCCCGCCCAGACTTGCCGCACGGCTACTCGCGGGAAAAGCCATTCCTTGAGGAGCAGGATAGTGTTTGCAAGCTTTAAGGCTTCAAGCCAGGTCGGGATTGCACTCCCGAAACCGGGTTTCGGGTGTGCAGCTTGGATCGCTCAACTTTTCAGTAAGGTTCTAGTCGACCCCAGGCTAGTTAGCGGCCCTCTGTCAAGGTTAAATACACAATCAGCGATGTGCGCCTGATGGCATCTGAGAGGGTGCTTCAGGGCGGATTGGTTAAACATCCAACCACATGCCAGTGAACTGTTTGGGGAAACTGGCAACGTGGATAGGGGTCGTAGGCTCATACCAGCGAGATCAATATACTGGTGATCAAAAGCGACTCCCAACCCTTTCGTCGCTGATCCCCTTTATAATACGCTCTTGGGTTAATGGTCTCAACTTTTTGTTGGAAAGGCAATCGACTATGCTTTGTAGCAACCCAACGACGCCAGCAAGTTTTTGTCTATGTTTTCCGCCAATGACATCTTTGATTCGATCCGATCCGATCCGATGTTCTTCGATTGTTCCCATGGTTATCGTCCAGGATGCATGTTAGGCGTGCATATTTATTTTGATGCTTATTTATTTGCGAGCATCATTTGTGTCCTTATGGATTGGGAAGGCGTTACCGCGAGGTGGTTCCTGGCGGCCCCAGGTTGCACCAGGAGATTGGCCCCCCCCCCCTCCCGGAGTGCCTATGCCCCGGAGTGGAAGTTGGCTAACGAACTACGGCGAGGTCAGGAGCACCAATTGAATTAATTTTTACTTTTCTTTACAGCTTAAATTTTGCGCAAAGCGGGCATACTTTGGTAAATGGAAACTGCGACTGCCGGACAGAGGTCACACATTTACATAATGCCAAATGAACGGGCTACAGCGACTTCATAGCTAAAGAAACGTTATTGCTTTAACTCGTTTAGCAAAGAGCTTCACGCGCGGGCACCTCCGACTTCGACCTGGCCGATGAAGATGGCAGGACTTCTCGCTTTGTACCCGTCCAAAAGCACCGAAACGCATAGGATTGTTGTGGAATATAGCACATGCAAGACATTGCGTTGTCGACCTTAAGGGGGCGCATGATGCCCCGGCCGTGCTTTATGGGCCTCCAGGAGCCCCAAAACGGATTGTCTAGGATCGATCCATTGCAGATAGATCATAGGCGCTGGGCTGGCGGTCATGGAGTGCTCGGCCGATGGACTGAAGCGGCCTGCGCCGCCGAGCAGATGGCCAGGGCTGCACCCTGGCTGGACGCGGCCCTCAGATGCAAGGCACCGGGGGGCGCATAGCAGCTGGATGGCTTTCAGACTGCCGGT